TCGGGTATCCTCATACAGTGGCGTGGATAATGTAACATCTATCGTTATAAAATGTGAATTTGGCGTACCGAATTCAAATCCTTATCGATTCTGTTTAGTACATTTCACGACGTTGCACTTAGAAAAGGTATAAATACACCCCATCAAAAAGGTTTAAATCCACCACTCCCAGAAAAGCTATAAATCCACCCCACGAGGAAAGGTATAAATCCACCTCCCAAGAAAAGGTATAACCCCTCTCGAAAAGGTATAAATCCATCCCCACAGTAAAGGCATGAATCCATCCATTCCCCCAGAAACAGCAGAGCATACTGGGTCCCCTTCCTTGAGGCGACAACCAGTTTCTGAATTCAAAACTAAACTGAAGAGAGATGGTTTAAGTCAGGTTATCTTGTCCTGGATACACCGCTGTTGCCATCGCTGCAGTACGATTCTGCTGGGTTACGGAACTTAAGACGATACTCAAAAGGTTTGTATTTATGACATCTATCTGTGACATCTGTCTATGACATCTGTTTAAGGTGACTTACTCATTTCCATCACAATGCAACTTACTTGATAATCAGGATATTTACCAAACAGTATGAGACCTAAGTAGAAAGATTGTGCTATGCCGGTAATCCAATTGTGTCCACTTTCAAAATCAGCATTCGAAGTCCTCGGATTTGGTGCGAAATGCATTAACTAACCTGCCAATCAAGCCTAACCTTGTTCTAGTCGTTAATAAATGTTTGGACACCAGTAAGATGAGAGATTCTCCTGGAACATTATTATCTGATACTCCATTTAGGACGAAACCTGGTAACGTGATGGGCGCCACCAAGTAATCTCCAGAGTACCAGCTGAAAAAGGAAAATAGGTTGTCACGTGATTATTCAAGAAGGGTAATAAATGAAATATTTTAATTAACGCAAAGAAAATTTTCTTTCAAAGTTAAGAGACTTGTGCTTCTGTTAGCTTTCTACGCGGATAATAACTTTTCTGAGCTATTTTTGCAGATATTTAGAAATTACTTTTCATTAAAAAAAATACAAATGCAATATCAGGCGGACGGGATAATTTCCTATTTAACTACCCCAGAGAAGATGTCGAATAAAAAGCAAAACTCAAAAGGACAAATATTCCTTGTGCGTGATTTGTTCTGCATATAGTTTCATTTTGTTGGTAATCCACATATTTAACTTCAATGAATGGATCAAGATTAAACGCCATTGAAGTCGGGGGTAACGAATCTCTATCTATCAAAGGCAGGATGTGTGTGTGTGTGTGTGTGTGTGTGTGTGTGTGTGTGTGTGTGTGTGTGTGTGTAACGAATGCACGACCGCAATTTTTGACGGATTTGCACCAAAATTTACATGCACATGCTCCAAGTTAGCGGGAAGGCCAAGACCGACTTTGCATTTCCCAACTCCCATCGATAGTGGAAAATAATCGATTTTTTCATGCTTCTATGGCAGTTTTCATGTAGTTTGCGGCCATTTTCTACTGGCCAGAGTGAGAGCCAATAGCTGGCTGCCACGAATAGGCAGGAAGATTCTATTGGCCAGCATGAGATCCAACAGCTGACTGACACGAATGTTAATTAGCATGCTAGCATGCAAAAAAAAAATCGATAGCTGCATTCGTCACAATTGGGAAAAATTTAATTCTGCATGACACTTTACTCCAATTGGCTCATTCGCTTGCTTAAACTCAACGTTGATTCTGATTCCGCAGAACTGGGTTGGGTGTAAAAAAGTAGTTGTTGTTAACATTCTTTTTTTCATTCAGTTTTTCCAGTTACGAGTCCTTTTTTTTTTAAAGCTGATCGTTTTGTGTTCATTTTGTTTAGTTCTTTTTTCGTAACAGATTTAATATTTAGTATAGAGCTTCGAAAAAAATTCGCAGTATGAGATAGGCAAGAAGTAAGGCATGAAGCAACATCAGCACGGCAAAGGGCACTCCTTTAAAGGCAAGGAAGGGCAAAAATATTTTAAGTCAAGTGATAGCGATTGCTGTATGAGTCGTACGATTTTTGAATCAAGCACGGGCAACGCCGGACCATGCTGCTAGTCTGTTATAAAGCCGATTAACAAAATAATGTAATGGTTCCCAAATTCTTGCGTAAATTTGTCATCATTTATTATTTTGCTTTGTATTCCTAAATTCTGTAGGACACAAAAACGTAATAAAATGAAGATAACATCTGTAATTTTAAACAGTGTCATTTAAGGAGTTGTGTTTTTCATTGCTTAATTCTGGCTGTCAGCTATTTGTTCTGATGACAGCTATCATCTACTATAACACTGGCCAGCTATTTGTCGTGAACATCCATCTTCTGGCATAACATGGATTAATTCTTGCGGTCAGCTATTTGTCCGGACGTCAAACAACTTGTATCGTAACACTAGTTAATTTCTACGGACAGTTTTCCGTCCTGACGTCAGCCCAGTCTATTTCAACGGTTAATCAAAACTTTCGTCGAACTTCCGGCAATTTCATTTCAATGGGGACTTATGTAAGATTTAATGGCCAGCAAACACGTGAAATCAGACTAACGACGTCAACAGTTTTCCCTTTCCAACATATTTTTCATTTTCAGTCAAATTCTGATATGTCAGAGAACTCTCCTGACTTTAATTCAAATATTTACTCTTTCCCGTCGATTAGGTGCATATCACTTATCAAAATCGGGCAGTATCTTTCATTTTGATATCAATCTTTGCTTTGTACTCTTCCGTACACGAACTTGATCTACTATCAATTTAATACATGTATTCTTTTGTCAACGTTCAATTTTGAATGTGTACTCTTCCAAACATGAACGTTTATTACTGTCAACTTAACACATAAATATTTTACTACGTTCGGCTCCGAACATGAACTTTACTTTCCACATGTACCTTGTAGAGGGGCCGTGGCTGTTATGTTGTTGATAGAAGGAGGACGTAGAAGAAACGCATGTAAGTTTCAGATTCTCCTGCCCGCCGAGCCCAACTACATAGAAGGTTGGACTAGAAAGAAGAAGGCAAAGAAAGCAAACAAAACACAAGACCGATAATATATGTATATACAAATATATATTAATAACAAGTTACAATACATGGAAACAGTACAAAGGACGAAGTGTGTGTGAATATTCTGTATGTGCGTGCGTGCGTGTGTGTGTATTGTGCTTAGCGTGTTTCCACGCTATTCCTTTGTTAGCGCCTACATTTCGAGGTTGATAGCTGAAATCCTGAAAGAAAAAAGAGATTTACCTCAAGGTGTCGGTAAACAGGCCTGAAGGAAAAAGAGATAGAGGCGAAGGGTCAGCGGCTATTTATAGCCAGGGAAGAGAGCGACCCCTGGTGAAAGGGTTAACGGACTGAAGGAGGAGTTAACTCCGACAACCTTTTCGTACATGATACATTTCACTCTACGATTGGTTCTAACGATCTTTGTATGTATATGTGTGCGGATAAATTCTATTGTAAAATTTCTTTCAGGGACCTTATTTCACGATAATATTTGTTACGTGAATTTTTGTGTTAATCTGTGTTATGTATGGGCCTTTCGTTCAATCATTTTGAGTTGCTAAATTTTGTTTTAATGTAAATAATTTTTATTAGTGATATTAATGTAAACCCCTTGTTATTGTTGTTATTGTTGTTGACCTGCCAGATCAACGTTTTGTTTCTCTTTTAAATGTTTGGGGGCGTACTTTGATAAATTGAATCAAAGTTCACGGGCTACATCTACTCTTATCTTTGGGGGAGGGGAGAGGGGGCGCTCAACAAGAATCTGCCTAAGATCGCACACGAGCGCTTTATGATCGCGCGAAAGTACATGAAACTGGCAGTTGTAGTCGGTCGCTGACCACTTGAAATTCGACTTAAAATATATCTATCAGAAGACGCATATTTTCTATAAAATTTCTCGGACGTTCAGGTCGGTAAATGTTGTTAATAAACAGAGCATTCACTTAAATATTTGTATCTATAAAAAGAATGTATAAGCATAAAAACATCTTAAAATAATTGTCGGACATTGTCTATTTCATAATGTGTGACGTCATTTGTTTACATTTGATACGCCATGAGCAGATATGAATGTACGTGAGAGATTCATGGATGATTGAAGTTTAAAGACAGTAAATTCGACCTTGCTAACCGAACACTCATCTGTGGCCAAATCGGTTAAAGGCACATCAAGCTAAATGACGGTTCCGTATATGACACAGGTTCGAATCCTGTCGGAGGATGCATATATTCTATGAAATTTCTCGGGCGTTCAGGCCGGTAAATGTTGTTAACACTGTTTATTATAAACAGAGCATTTACTTAAATATTTCTATCTATATAAATAACGTATAACAATATATATATATATATATATATATATATATATATACAAACCTATTTATAATAAAAGTAACAACAATACATATTTAAAACAAAATGATCAACAATGCCTTTTATCTGTCGTTGAAAGCACGCAGTTACATTCAAAATATATTTAACTGCAGCCAGATGTAGATTTCAGCATTAAATAACTCATAGAGGTGTTGATATGCCGCTAAAGAAAATCAACCAACCAACATTCTATCTTACTCATTAATAACTCAAATACTTTCTGTCACTTATGATATTATCACCGGATATATGTCAACGCCAATATTCTTTTTAATCCCTTTGAGACCACTTTCTCAAATTTCGTTGCAGTGTCGTCAACTAGAATCCTTTAAAAACTACTGCAACAAGTGCCATTGCCGGTATTAATGCTACGCTTGCTGTGCACTACTTTGGCTTCTGTAAATATGTATAACCCTGTTGGGAAACAATACGAAATTATGAATTTGACGAAAGGAGGGGATTATGACGTGCTGGTTTTTAATTGGTTAGAAAATTATATCATCTTCAAGGTTACTGGTAATTTCTGTTACTCTTGTAGTTTTTAAGTTTCTTTAAAGATCTGCTTTTCAGTAGCATTTATCTTTCTCTAGATTTGAAGTCTGTTTTCATTTTTTACTATTTGTTAAGCTTTTCTACATGACAAACCAGGGTCGCTTTTATACACAAACTTCTATCTATCTATCTATCTATCTATCTATCTATCTATCTATCTATCTATCTATCTATGTATAAAGGCAAAAGACAATAGGATAACTGTATTATTAGCCGACAATGTGGACTTTTCAAGGCAAAAATGAAATGAATTTATTAAAACAAAATAACTATTAACAACAAAACAAAATGTCCTTAACAATTAGAAAACGCTATTGTATTCATATTGTCAACTGAAAATTACGTCAAGTATTATCACGTGTGTAAATATTTTTTTTTATTGTTGTGTTGACGGATTCAACCATTTTCTTTTGATTTCTTGATAAAGTTGTGTACGTTTGCTTGGGAGAGTAGTAATTCTGTGAGGAAAGGTGAAATAGGGAAAATGCTGGGCGTAGATTAATATTTGGATAATATTCAATGGCGTCACTCTCGAGGACTTTCCTTCTGAGTGAGTTATTTTCTTTTTTGATGGGTGTAGCATTTTAAAAATCTATCTATTTTTTTTAAATCAGTATCACCTCAAACAAGACAGTTTCAGCCAATAACAAGCAAGGGGTTACAGAGTGTGGAAAAATTAGGGACAGAAACATTAGTAATAAGTAGAAAGAGAAAAGAGCAGTCAGGAGGACGGTAGATCGCGATTGACATTGCATTTACGTTTTTGCAGATTAATGTTGGCTGGAAAGCATGGAGCCGGAAGGGAGTCCCACACACGATAAACGCGAGAAAAGAAACAGTCAGCATAGAAGTTACGGTTACATCTAGCCAATTCAACTGTAAATTGAAAAGCTCATCCAAACAACTACCATGAAAGTATGCAAAAAAAAAAGGCACGAGAATTCAGCCTTACGGTGGTGGGTATGTGACAGAAGCCGAGCTGCCAGAGCAGGATCAATATTATTGCTGATTCTTCTTTGGATCATATCAAGGTAAATAGCAGAGGCACAGGATCATATATGGCAGCAATATTTTAAGCATGGACGAATGGTAGAGTTATAGATATGCAAGACAGATTCCAGAGAGAAAAAAATTGTGTCGCACGTAACAACTGACCGAGCAATGGATTCAAAAAAGTATTTCCACTTCATGTCAGCTGAGAACGTTAGCCTGAGAAGGCGAAACAATTTACTTTCCTGAAGGATAGCATCAGCCATACTGATAGAAGGGAAAGAAAGGTCTATCTGATGATTAATGGAAAAAAAAGTTCAATTTCAGAGGGGTTAAAATTGAAAAGCCATCTTTTGCCCCAGTTAACGACGGTTTTGATGTCGTTTTGGACATCAGCTGTCATTTTGACCTTGTCGGACTGACCAGGCATACTATCAAGGCGGTAGTAAATGGTAGTGTCATCTGTTGACCATGTTTACCATAGTCTATGAATATAGAATACAGCGCAGTACGTAATCTGTTCAATGAAACAACGTTGAAGATAAACACTCACGAGTCAGACACTCTACTGAATCTGACTATATCGCCAATACCACCAGCAGCTGTTCCGTAATTCTTCAATCTTCGATATCAAAGGCTGGCAGTGATATTTAGCCACCCCCCCACCAACCACGAGGGTTACGAGGGTTACATGTGGCACAAGGCCGGGATTAACGTGGAATCTCCGAGCCCGTAGGCTCGGCCAAAAGTATTCCCTATCCGAATGCGTATAAACGGGTTCAGGGGCAGTCAACCTCCCCGAACGAGACTCTGCCCTTCGGCGGAGCCTCGTCCGGGTTATCAAAGGCTGGGAGTGCATATTCGGGAAAAACATGGCCGTCTTTATACACATCGCATTGAATATTTTGAGCCTTCTGATTGGTTGAACCTTCTATTGGTGAACTATAAAATGAGTCGGCTCATTTTGGCTGGCTCACTAGTACACCAGGGTACCCAAAAATTCCAACATCATCAGCGAGTTGAGAGATGAAGGTCGTTAATGAAACTTAAAAATAGCCTAGTACCCAGGATGGTGTCCATTGTGGACACTTGTGTTAGTACGAAAGGATGTAGATGAGTGGCCGTTCAGGACAACCTTATCTATCTATCTATCTATCTATCTATGTCTTATGGCTATATCAAGTTCGAACACCGGCGCCAGTACGATCACCAAAGTTAACCAACGTCGAGCATGGTCAGTATCTAAATGGGTTACCGCTCGGAAATACCAGGTTCTTTACACCTGGATGTGCAGGTAGAGTAATGGATAACGACTCTGAATTGGGACATGGAGTGCCGAGTTCAAGTACAATAGTGTTCGTTATCTTCGCTAATGCGCAAACAACGTTAGGAAAAAGTATGGATCCACATCTTCTCCTCCAGCTATGGATTAATTAGTAAAACTTGTACCATTAAACCATTATTATTAAAATTATTATAAAAAAATTCTTACAGTCTAAAATCATTTTCTGGCTTTAAATAACCTGCAAAGGGTTGATAAGCCGTAGAAAATAAATCACGCAATCACTTAACTAAAAAAGCTAATACCTTTGGAAAGTTGTGTTTAGGCATGAAGAATTAAATTTTTCCAAGTTTCGAATAAGATGTATATCGGAATCAGATTTGTGATTAAAAGTATAGATATAGTTATACTATATTTATGGGTGAAAGTGCTCAATATCAGAGGTAGAGCGTAGGTAAATATGAAAGATGACACCAAGGTTAGCATCGAGCGACGACAGTGTGTTTCATGCTTGCAAGCAATCTTCAGGCCACGTGTGCTGGGATTGGTGTCGCCACTTGGTGTTTATCTCGGTGTCCACTTTTATATTTATATATATATATATATATATATATATATGTATGTATGTATGTTTGAGCTGACTGAGGGTGGGATCTCCCAAGCCTTTTGGGCGTCTCCTAGTACAAGGAATCTCTGACAGAAAACCCGCCTCATAACCCAGACTAGATATCAGACTAAATTGTCTTTGGACAATGTGGTTTTGTGGTTAGGGTCGATGCAGTGCTGTGCAAGTTGCATCCGACCTTAAAATCCGAACGAGTATTACTGACAATTGCTAGCTTGTATTTTTTTTTCTTTCAATCCAAGTCCGATGGCGATGCAGCGACGCGTACAATTCTGACGGACTGGAAGTACGTAGCTGCTGACCTGCACATATGGTGGCGTCTGGGTAGATGTAAAGCCACTAGGTTATGTCACATATGTGAGAAGAAATGTAGATCGATCTCTGGCTTTATGAGCCACTGTCGTTCACACAACTGATGAATGGTGTGATGGGGAAGTTTAAGTAAAGAGCTGGACATGTAAGTGAGGGACAGTCTTGCTTTGCGAGTCAACAGCCACCAATATATATATATATAGAATTAATACAAATATAAATATTGTCACGTAGCTAATTGGTATTACTTTCAGCACCCCGACTCAAGAGTTTCGTAGACGAAAACTCTATCAATCACTCCGTCCACTCGTCAGGGTTAGAAAAAATTTGAATTTTTATATTTCTCGTTTTTTCTTTTATATATGCACTTTTCACTGGTCCAAGGTTGATTTTATTCTTTTATATTATGTGTGCATATATATATATATATATATATATATATATATATATATATATATATATATATATATATGTGTGTGTGTGTGTGTGTGTGTGTGTGTGTGTGTGTGTGTGTGTGTGCATGTGTGTGTGTGTGTATGTGTGTGTTTGCGTTTGTGTGTGTGATGACTATGATACTCTGTGTATATTTTTTATTCTTTTTTTTTCTTTTGACATGTGTGAGCAAAATAATTTTTTTGGGGGGATCACAAAATCTTCGCTGCAGGATAATAATATTGATTGAATATTTAACACTGGTTAAAGGCTGCAGGGACAGTTGAAAATTTTGAGATAACCGCCAAACTTTATTGTGCTTTCACATGTCGCGCTGCATTTTCTTTATCATTTGTCATTTCGAGTTTTGACGGGTGTGTTCTTAAATTTCCACCCATGTTTGAGAGTGAAACAGTTTAGCAGCTTTAGACTAAACTGGTTCATATCAGTCAGCTACAAAGGTTTTTCACCATTCACCCCAAACGTGTTCATGGAAGACAATTAAACAAAATTCTTAGAAGAAAGTAAAAATGGCGTTAGGCGGGAAACTGAGCTGGCAAAAAAACAGACCAGCAAAGGCGAAACTTTCGCCGGTGGTGTTAGATTAAATTTTCTTTAACAATATGACTCATAGAAGAATCATAACGAGGTAATTTAAAAATAAGTACAGGTATGGTGGAATAATGGCTCGGATTAAGGAGTCGAAGAGCCGAGTTCAAATTCCAGTCGAATCCATTAAATTCACTTATGTTGGGAAAATTCATTACCTTGTGAAAGGTATGAATCTTCTTTTCCGCCCAGCTATGGGTAAATAGCAGGACAGACCGGGTTCTATAGCCTTGGATGGCAACAGGTCTACCACAGAAAGAAATGGCAACCTACAAAAAAAAATCTGCCTCGTCAGTCATGTATCGAAATATACATGATCGCCTAAATGTGTATCATGCATGGCACATAACTGACTGATTCCTTGTATATATGCCGAGTTCGAATTCCAGTCGAATCCATTACATTTACTTACGTGCTAATACCCTTGGGAAAGGTATGAATCTTCTTCCTATCCCCCCAGCTATGGGTAAATAGTAGGACAGATTGGGTTCTATAGTCTTGGATGGCTACTGGTCTACAGCAGAAAGAAATGGCAACCTACTGCGAGAAAAAAAATCTGCCTCGTCAGTCATGTATCGAAAGATACATGATCGCCTGAGAATGGTATGTGACCGATGTTATAAAATATGCATTTTTATATTTCATAGTGTTTTGGCACGGTGGAGTAATGGATAGCGGCTCGGATTGAGGAATCGGAAAGCCGAGTTCGAATTCCAGTCGAATCCATTACATTCACTTATGTGAAAACCCTTGGGAAAGGTATGCATCTTCTTCTCCCCCCACCAGCTATGGGTAAAGATACATGATCGCCTAAGCGTGTATCACGCATGGCAAACAACTGATTGACTGAATATTTACACGTTGGGATTTCGAACTAAACATTTTATTTCGTCTACTGGTCTAGATTATTCAAATTTCACGTGGATATCA